TAACCTGTCAGGACTGGAAATCAAGCAGGTGGTGGTATCATATATTATATGTATCTGGGCAGCATCATCAACAATGCTCAAGGAGGCTCGGACACCCATATAGCAGCAGCTTCTGTCATGTTTCAGGCCCTTCATCAGCCTTTATGGCTGCCAATCATGTGGGTGTCAAAACGTTGGTAGTGCAATAAAATAAACTGAACATAGAGCCAGGCCACCTTAAAGATCTAGCCAGAGATTGATCTCCAATGAGACCCATGTCCCTTTGGGATTTGTCATGATGATGATACTTACATGGAAATTATAGGAAAGCAAAGTTAAAGTTGAGGGAGCTCGCATAAGGCAATAGTCAGAAGGACACCTTTTTGTAAAGAAGCAAGGATCTTGTGAAAATTATTTGCAAAGCCAAATAAAAGGGAAAATAAAATGATTCTTTACAAGAACTTCCTCAGGTGGTTGTTTACTAAGTGGAGGTTTATTACTGTTATTTTCAGAGTAGCTGCTGCTGCCAAATGTAATAGTGGTAGAATGGGACTCTGAATTAAAAACAATTCAAGTTTGAGAACAGAACTTTCATATGAGATGTAAAATCAAAAGACTTGTTGGTAGGCTCTTTTCACAAAAACAGGAGCACAAACCCATATGATGTGGTCATATTCCAACTTTTTTATTTACATTCTAGCTACCCAAATTCCCACTACATTTTTAGATGGATACTCTATTTTTTATTTCTTATACTGAAATGTAGTGTTGCTGTGTGCTATTAAGTAGTTGATGTAATTTGCCCCAAAGATGGTTGTCAATTTTGGGCACATCCTGAATGCTATCCCTCTATCCTGGAAACCAAAATATGACAGATTTGATTTTTAAGATTAAAAGCCATGGAGACCGATGTGTCCTGTGCACAGAACAAGCCTCAGTGGCAGTACAAATATCTATTGCTGTCAAAAGGACCCAACCCTGACCTTGAATGGATAAAACTATAGTATGACAGGGTGGTAACATTTCTGTGTTCATTCACTGCTGACACATAATGGTGATTTTTTGAGAATACCAGTTGTGATGGTGTTTTTGGTGATATGGGCAGTTTTGGTCTAATGGCAACGAGGAAATGGTTGATCCCTTTCAGGACAGTGCCAGCCTCCTCCCAGTGCGGGGGGTGGGGGACTGAGGTGGTCTAGGCAGAAAATTGGGGGGACTGCATTAAACTTATAACCTCCCCACACCCACACAACCAGCCCAAGGCCCCTTAATCCCAGAGCTCTGGGCCTGGAGCTGGGGAAGGGCAGGGCTAGGGGCGCCCCTGCCAGGGGATCCTACCGTGCACTGTGCTCCAGCTGCTAGTTCTGGCCAGGCTGGAGAGGCACAGACCCACTTCCGGGAACCTCCCCTGACTGCAGGATGCTCCACATCTCCCCTCACTTTCTGCTTCCATCGCTCTCAGCCATGCGGGGAGGAGTCACTGTACGGGGAGCTGCCCCCCTCCATTCGCCCAGGGCACCATTTTTCCTAAGGCCGGCCCTGGACATCAACACTCAGAGCTGGGCAGCTGGAGAGTGGTGGCTGCTAGCCAGGCACGCAGCTCTAAAGGCAGCACTGCCACAATATGGCATTGCCACCCTTACTTCTGTGATGCTGCTAACGGCAGCGCTGCCTTCAGAGCTGGGTGCCCGGCCAGCAGCCACCACTCTCCAGCCACTGAGCTTTGAAGGCAGCAGCTGCCATTCTATTCACAGCCTTCACAGCTGAGTGACAAAAGAGCAGAGGCTGCTAGCCGGGCGCCCAGCTCTGAAGGCAGTGCCGGCATCAGCAACAGCGCAGAAACAAGGGTGGCATGGTTCAGAGGCGAATTAAGGTTTCCTGTGGCCCTGGGCCAGAGCAAGTGGGAGGGCCCCCTCCCCACCCCTTCTGCATGAGGGCCCGCCCATGTTCTGTCCCTTCCGCCTGTGGCCCTGCCCACAGCCCTACCCCTTTCTTCCCCTTCCCCAGGACTTTGCCCCTGTTCCACCCAGCCTCCCCCCAATTCTGCCCACCATACAACCCATTTGCTCCTTTCTGCCCCCCCGCATCCACTGAGGCCCCAAGACCGGAGAAGCTCTGTCCCCACACCATGGCCCTTGGGCCATAGCGGGGAGTGAGAGCTCCTCTAGTCCCAGGGCTGCAGCAAGGGTCCAGGTGCTGGGGCTTCCCCTGACACCCCCCGCAGTTCTGCAGGGGACCAGAGTCAGGGTGCTGGGGCTTCTCCCGCCCCCGCTTGTCTGACACTTCTGCCAGAGAGCTGGGTCAGGCACAGGGGATTCCCCTGCCACGCCGCAGCTTCTTCCGGGAACAGGGTCGGAGTACTGGGGGCTTCCTCTGCCAGAGACTGTGTTGGGGGCTGCTGGGGGACTTCCCTCATCCCGTGGCTTCTGCTGGGGCTGGATGGGGTTGGGTGCTGCAGGGGGCTTCCCCCATCCCGGGGCTTCTGCTGGCTATGGGATTGGGAGGCACGGGGGCTTCTCCTGCCCGGTAGGCGGTGGAAGCCAGTGGCCTCCCAATTGGCCTGGGCCCAGCCCAGTGGCTAATCCACCACTGTACCCATTGCTCTGGGAGGGGTGACTACAGGGAGGCTAAGGCAAATTTTGGGGTGGTACAGCCCCTGCGAACTCCTCTAGCACCACTCCAATCACCTTCAGAATAGGCAAAGTGAGGAGCATCAACAGGAAGTTGCATATAATGTTTTTCCACTGTTGTTTACTGTAACAGTTACACACATGTCCAGTGTATTGAGCGCACTCTCGAGTATTCACATTTGTACTAGAAATTAAACCGTAATGAGTTGATATTGAATTCTAGGACATTGTGAGTCCCTCTTCTGTACACTGAATAGGAGAGGGAAGATAGGCCATCCGGACTGTCTTTTTGGGACTATACAGATGGCCTGGGACCATTTGATGCTCATTTCTATGTATCACTAGTAATTTTTTTTATTATTATTTCTGATTTGGAGCTACATCTGTTAGTTCATTCATGTAATGCTAAGATATAGAGAGGTTTCAGACTAATACAGGGCTTCTCAAAATGTTTTCAAAGTGGAATACTTTTTAATAGCAAGATTTTCTCCTAAACCATCTCCCGTCCTATATGCAATAGTGCAAACCACATTCCACTCCCATTGCAATCATATAATATCCCTATTGCAGCTACACTTCTTTAAAAGAATGCCCAAATGCAGGAATGGATAGGAGATGAGGCTGCTGCACAAGTATAAATAAGGGAAGTATTTGGCCTGGAGAATCTTTATTACTGGCTGTGAGGCACAAGAAAGAAAGAAAAATAGCTTGATTTTCAGATCACAGATTGGGTTTGCATGGCTGACAGTTAAAAAAGACAACTTCATAAACCTCTACCCCAATATAACACGACCCGATATAAGACGAATTCGGATATAACGCAGCGGTAAAGCAGCGCTCCGGAGGGGCGGGGCTGCGCACTCCAGTGGATCAAAGCAAGTTCGATATAACACGGTTTCACCTATAACGCGGTAAGATTTTTTTGGCTCCCGAGGACAGCGTTATATCGGGGTAGAGGAGACATACATGGTGGAGCCCCATTCTGCAGAGCCTGGTTGACTGATTTCCAGTGATGGAGGATCTTGCCGAGTTTTCCCTCCCTGAATTCTCCAGTCTTTGATGCTGGTATTCCTTCCTGTACTCCTGTGGAGTTAATATTTATTCCTGCTCTTTTAGGGATCTGGTTTTATTTCCTCTTAGTAACTGTAACCAGTTATAACAAATATTTTCTGTTTGCAATATTTGAATTGTGAGCTATGAGATGCTATTAGTAATTCTTTTTTGTCACTGAGGCTCTTTTGACTATATGTCAATATTAGTGTGGATATATTTATCTCTGGTATGTGTACAACTTTGTATTTTTTCTTATCCAGGAGAGAGACACATTTTTAATGGCATTCCAGAGATGGAAGAGTTAAGGGTGTCTTTGTGTAATTTTGGTGACTCTGGTTGGGTAGGGTTGATTTACTAGGGGAATTGTTGGTGTATTTGTGTCAATGGGTGGACTAAAAGATGATTTATATTGGTATATGGCTTTTTTCTGTATATCCTGTTTTTTGTATTGTTTTGGGTATGGCTTTATCATCCACTATTGGGGTTTCATGAAGCACAAAGTATTTTTGTTTGTTTTCCCTGTTTTTTTTCAGTGTTTAAATACAAATAGTAGATCTGAAAGTTTCAATTAATTTGTTGTACTATAACATAATCCGTTTTACTTCAATGAGAAATTGACCAGTTTACCTCACTTAATAATTGTATGTGGCAGTGAGACAGCCACTAGCAAAGATACCTGAAATCTCCTATTGTTCCCCATGGGAGTGAAACCACAGGCTGTCCTTAGTCAGAATGGCTGCCATACATGTATAGTCTTTGAAAGTGGACACAAACGACTGCTCCTTGGAAAGATAGCCATTAATTCTTTTCCATTGTTTGCAATGCAGTTGAAGCCAGGCTGACCTCAGAAAAGTTGACCATCTCTTGGGTTCTATGGTTAGGAAATGGCAGGAAACTGGGAGGAGGCAGGGCTTATTGGCATTGCAAGTGCTCATCAACATGTCCTTTTTGCTATACTGCTGCAAAATGATTTGACACACTCCATTAAGCAAACTAGTTAATTTAGTTGCCTTGGTGTGGGGTTTTCCCCAAAAAGTCTGATTAATCAAAAAATGGGAAAAACCAATCTGTATGTATTTTCAAGACTGTATCTTCAGCCATTTTTCACCAAAATTTTATTTGAAAAAAAAAGTGAATCAAAACTAGAAGGTTACAAAGGAAAAGTCTGCTGCCACCTTCAATATGGTGCATCTAGTATGCCACCATACTATATGAACATTATGTAAGCATTTTTATAATTCTTAGAAATGTACTGTAAGATGTTCCTGTTCTGAATCTTATTCAATTTCAAAATTCAATTAAAATTGCTGACATTTTCTTTTTTTCCACCCTCTACAGGAGTAACAACTGTGTTGACAATGACAACGTTGAGCATCAGTGCACGAAATTCCCTCCCCAAAGTAGCTTATGCAACAGCCATGGATTGGTTTATTGCTGTTTGTTACGCATTTGTATTCTCTGCATTGATAGAATTTGCCACTGTAAATTACTTCACAAAACGAGGATGGGCATGGGATGGAAAAAGCGTAGTCAATGATAAGGTAACCGATAATGAAACACATTTATATTTCCAGTCAGTTCTAAGAAAATAATTTAACAGATATTTTGATAGTTGGTTATTACTGAAAAAATACTTGAATTTTCAAACCAATAGAAAGATTATGACTTGTGAGATGAAAGTAGGTGTGGATAGAAAGATATTGTAAAGTGTGTGCTCAAATTGCCAAACTCTAGCAGAAATTAAACTGCATACAGGAACTTTCTCTAGCAGGCTGTCCTTGGAGAAATGATTATTGTGTCAAGGCTCTCTCCACATTGATCAATAGCCTATTTGAATCTCGTTAAATGTCAAAAAATATAAAATCTGAGGTTACACCACATTATGTTCGAGTCCTTCATGTAGAAATGAATAAAATCAGAGTAATATTTCTGTAAAAAATCTTTATTCAGACTTAATGAAAATAAGCTTCCTACACTTGCATCCATTACATTTCAAAACATTGGAGATACTGTCACATTCACCCAACTTCTTTATTTCCTTATTTGTTTTATAGTTATACATTTCCCTCTTGTTCTTTATCAGCATTACTGTGAAGAAGGAGGGAGTTATATGTAGGGTTTTATTTATAAATATAATTTGCTCCTCAGGTTATGTCTGATATTAAACTGCCCAAATGCCAGGAGTTAAATCAAAGAGGGTGTTAAGGGGGAAGCAAACAGGAACCAAAATAGTGTTTCCTTAAGGGATTAAGGGGGGTAAACTATTAATTAGGGAATGTCCCTGCTTAGCTCCCACCAGGCTGCATAGTTTACTCATCCTGAGGCTGAAGGCCTAGGATCAAAGGGGGTCCCAAAATCTTAAAGATGCTGCCCATGGGAATGAGAGGGGGCTGCCGAGGGAGTGACAGGGAGAGCTAACAGTCAGACAAGGAGACACCGAGGCAAAGTGCGCATGCTGCAGGCAGAAGCGTCTGCTCCTCCCCCAGATAGAGATGGGAGTTAGCTGGGTTAAGGGCAACTTACAAAAGTGTTCAAGGAAAGATTAAAATGTAGGTAAGGGACAATATACGTGTAGGACTCTTTGTTGTTTAACCCTTTGCTCTGTGTGCTTTCTACCTTTGGGTTAATGAATAATGCTTTGTTTTGAAGATGCTGTTTCTGGGTCACTTCAAACTTATATTGTCGCGGAGACCTGAAGGGAAAAGGTTTATAGGTGCCAATCTCAACTGGGGCTGTTTAGCTAACAGGTTGAGAAATGGGGGGGGGGAGGGCCTGCAGCCTAGAGAGCCAGTCTCAGCGTGGCTGGACAGTGTGATTCCACTCAGAACAAGGTGCAGGAGGCCAGCTCTGTCACTTGAGGCGTGCACTCAAGAGAGACTGTCCCTAACCATGGCACGTGCAAAATCTGCAATTTCTAGATGGACCAGGGTGTTGTGAGCAGCAGTGCAAGTAGGGTAGTATGATCCGGTATGCCGTACCAGCAAGATATTTATAACTGGTACGGCATACCGGAAAGAGGAGGAGCAGAATGTGGGGCTGCTGGGCGGCCCCACGCCGGCAGCTCCTCCGGTGCAGCTGTACTGCCCCAGCCCTTCCATGCCGGGTCTCCTCCCTCTATCCAGCAGCCAGCCCCGCTGGAGGACAGGGCTGGGGGAGTTACAGCCGCTGGAGATGCTGCCGGCGTTCTGCTCCTTTCCCCGCTGCGGTTCCCGGGAGAGCCCTGAACTGATGCTACCGGGCAGCCCCATGCCGGCAGCTCCTCTGACGTGGCTGCCATACCGCCTCCAGCCCTGCCCTCCCCCCAGCCCTGTCCTCTGGCGGGGCTAGGGTGACTAGATAGAAAGTGTGAAAAATCGGGACGGGGGTGGGGGGTAATAGGTACCTATATAAGAAAAATTCCCAAATATCAGGACTGTCCCTATAAAATTGGGACATCTGGTCACCCTAGGCGGGGCTGGCTGCTGTACAGAGGGAAGTCTCCTGCACAGTGGGAGGAGGACAGAGACCCTCCACTCCCCAGGTAAGGGGAGTGGATCATGGGAGGGGATGGGGAGGCGCGGGCTGGAGACAGGGCAGGGAGGAGTCACATGGAGGGTCACATGAGGATGTCCTGTGTCCCCCATGGAGGGGGGAGCGTACCAGTAAGAAATGGATTCCACTTGTATCACTGGTTGTGAGGAACTTTGCAAAAAATAACAGAACTTGAATATGGGCCTGTTATCTAGATCCCAGAAAGCATGGAAAAATGCAAGCACATAATGGTCCTCTGACCAATTTAATTTCAGAAGATGAGGCCTGTTTAGTTTTTATGAATCTCTTACGCTACCTGAAATTTCTTCTTGTCCATCTTATCATCACCCGAATCAGTAGCTCGGTCTGGCAAGGGTGCAAGTAAGTGCTGATCATTGGTAAGACTTCTAAGCATAATGGAGGAAGCTGAGAGTAGGAGGAAAGATAGCCTGGTAGGCTGGCAAGAATAGCCTGTATGGACTAGGTCACAAGGTATTATGCAGCTAGGATGAGAGAAATTGTTTCCTTAGAACTCAGGACACATTTCTCAGTGACTGGCCCGTGTGGCTGCTCTGCCTCTGAGTTTCTTTCAAGCGCAGCTCGTAAACACACTCCAGACAAGCAGTAGGAGTAATGGAAAATCATTAAAATGCCAGCACCGTACTCATGGTTTTTACTGATTGGATTGCATCTAAACAGCTGTGCTCTGACCACATTGTGTCTCAGGCACTGTTGCCCCTTGGTCACGGCCACTTTCTCCCTAAGCCATCAGTGCTGAGTTTACTGCAGTTCAGGTTTGTTCATGGTGCTGATCCTTGTGCACATTTGTCTGCACTATGCGGAACCCTCTTTGCTCAAGTTCTCAGTAACAGCTCTTTTTGCACTTCTACTGGCAGCTCTCATCAATCTGCAAGAGAGTCAAGAAAATATTATTTGGCTCCTTATGGTCATCCGGAAGGCGATACTTTATCGTTACTTTGACTCTGGTTCAATTTGCTTAATATTCAGTTGAATGTTAGGCTTTCTGAGATATCATAGAGAGTAGGTGTTAATAGTTTGCTGTTCTCTATATCACAAATATCACAGAGCACTTTACAAACCTTAATAATGTAATTAAGCCTAGCAGCGCATGTGGTAGCTCTGAAATATTCTCATTTTACAGATCAGGAAAAAAGACATTAGTGAAGTAACTTGTTCAAGGTCACACTGTGAGACTATGGCCAACCAGAAACCAAGACTTGCCATTCCTGACCCCCAGTCCTGTGCTCTAGCCTCTAACATACACTTCATCCATTCGGTTAATTGTAACCTCTTGTTGGTTGGAAAGCTCAATCTCAAATTCCTTTTTTACACTATAGTACAACTTTCAAAAGTAGGAGTCTAAGGAGCACTTGCAAAATAAGAATGCCGTTATTAAACAGTTATCTTCATGCATCAAATAAGTAGTTGCACGCACAGAAACTTGGTTTGCATAAATAACTGCGTATTTTGCACATGTAATCACCTTTTTTTGTGCTTACAGGATCTGCATAGTCTATAAGCACAACTTCGTCACTTCTTATTGAAAACGTGGTCCTGAATAGTTTACCCTGCAGACTCCTTGCCTATTGATAGCTTTTAGGCCCAAATCCAACACCCATATAAGTCAGTAGAAAGACTCACATTGATTTCTGTGGGCATTAAATTGAATCTTTAGTTTCCACAGCGTGACTGCCTGCCTCCACAAACAAGCTGAAATTAGTGTATGTTCTATTCTTAGTGCCAACAAATGACATCTGAATGAATCAATTCAAGATCGAATATTCAGTCACACCCTTGGATTTACTGAAAACATATAGTTATAACACATAGTCATATTACATACTGTAATAGCAGTAGCCGAGACACTACGAGACTTACAACAATATCTTCCAATAACTCTCATTATAATATTTCATTTAAGAAGTCTCCACACACCAGAATTTTGTGTGCTCTCAATTTATATATTATCAAATCCTAAACATACTTAGTTTAAGACAAAATTCCTGCTGAAGTCAACAGAAATTTTGCCTGAATTAGAAGTTCAGGATTTAGCTCATTTATTTTAAATTCTGAACAAAAACATACTAATATTGATGACACTTTGGCTTGTTGCACCTGTTTTCAAATCACTTAGACTCCATTATTAAACATCCTTTTAAAGTGAAGTAGGTATTGGTTATTGTCCAGTTGTGTTTCTAGCTCATCAGACATTACTCACTTTAACTTATATTGTTTCTCAAATAAATTATAATTTGATTCTTGTCATTTTTCAAGACCAGTGCCATTTAATATAATCCAATTGGACTGAAGGTAGCAAAGAGATCACAGAATATGAGAAATAATGTATATTAAAATGAGTGATGTCTGAGGATCAGAAACACAATTGGATGATACCAGACACCTACTGCTAATTGTAATGGATTCCAGAGGATTTGAAAACAGCTCAGTTAGCCAAAAGCAGTGTAGACGTACCCTCAGGGACTCCTTAGACCAACAGAAGTTTGAATCAATTGAAAACATAAAATATTTTTGATATTGGTATAGAGGGGACAGTGTGTGGGGAAACTTTTAACTTAATGTAATAGTGTTTTAATGACCTGATTACATTGCATTATTGCAAGATTTGGTGTCAAGTCCTGTAAATCGTTATTGTAAATAACACAGAACAAATGCTGTTGCTGTCTCTTGACTTAATATATTATGTAATTACTCTCTCTACCATACCCTCATTCAGTTAATGAGAGAGAATCTCTGCTAAGGAAAACTTCAAGCTGTGGTTGCTCCTGACCCAAACCTGGGTACAATATTATGTATTTCCCTAATGGAAGTGAAGCAAAGATTAACAGTTAATGTTTGCACAGTGCTTTGAATATGTAAAGTGGAGCATATAAGTGCAAAATCTTATATTAATAATAAGGAAGAACTGTAGAAAAAGTGACAGTGCATCCTTTCTTAACACCTGTTGCTCCTAGTGAAGAATGAGGTACCCACAACTTCAGGCATCACTTTCTAGATTATAGAAATAGATCCTGAATCACTTACCAACAGATTATCTGCATGTCAAACAAATGCAGCTTTTCTGATTGGCATATTGACACTCCATTATAAATGATGTAGGAAGACCTTATGAACTCTCCAATCATCCTTCAGCTGTTTCTTTAAATTAGTGTAACAGTGTTCTTGCATGATCTCAGAAGTGGCAGCTGCTTAACAGATAAAGTATGCCTTCCCTGGGCAAAACGAGCAAAATTCAAGTGACCCAGCATCAACAGCGTGTCTTCTCAGGTTGTCATTCTTGATCTTAAATGCCCTTTCCTTGTAAACAGGGTAGTTGACCTGTTCCTTATTTTATTTCTTACAACTCTCAGATGTAATGATGTGGAATCTAGCTCTGTTCCTATGTAAGTGACTACTGTAGGAAGTCATTCCATCCTTTCTTTCAGTATTGCTACTTTAATTCTACTGCTCATGAACTGTCCATTCTGAAATTTATCTAGTTCTTATATGACAAGATTAGTTCTATAAAGGCTACTTACCGATTGTCAATTGAAAATATTCTGTCTTCTAACAACCTATTCAATAATTACAGTCTTCCCATACCCAATTGTCTAAATATTTGAAAATTAGAAATTTCATTCAGAACAAAATCATATTGGGGTTTTCTACAGTACTGAAATATCTATTTCCCTGTAATCATCTAATGACTAAAAGTTAAGCTTTCAATATTTCAATTGTTTCTAATACCAAACCCACAATTTATCATTATGTAAAAAATTCCATTAATGGGACTACAAATACTGTAGTAAATATTTTAAAATCACACTTCCTGGGTATGAAAAAAGGGATTTTGCAGATTAGCCAATATGGATCTCTCTCTCTCTCTTCTTTTTCTCTCTGGTTTTACACACCCTCACCATGAACACAACACAAAGCTCAGCCACTTCCAGCTAATAAGCAATGTGTCAGGGTCAAGGGGAAATGACTGTGTTTACATTCCACTGAGGTTCTTTTCTAACTCTGAAGTAGGCTTGGAACTTGTATTTCACGGGGGAACTGAGGTGGAGATCATAGGAATTTCCATAGTACATAGCAGTCCACATTCACACTCCAGTCAGTACACCAATTCACACCATACCCCACATGAGGTGAGAACTGGAATAAAACTCAGCAAGGGGAATCTGACCACATTTCCTCCCCTTAGGCCACCACCAGCAGTGTTTTTTCCATGGAATATAGGCTACATCTACAGTTCACACCACTGTTGTGTGTGAGGGTATGTGTAGTTACACACCGCAGTGAAAGGCAGGCTGTGTCTACACTGCTGTGTGTAGCTGCCTAAATGGATGATGGTGTCTCTTGGAAAATTAAGTCTTTTAAGTCCAGATCTTGAACCTCCTTGCATGTAGTCAGACTGTTGAAACCAGGCCAGTGAAGTCAACCTTGCTCTGTTCAGACAGAACACTTTACGGGATGAGGGCCTATTTTCCAGGGGGGAAAAATGACCCAAGACATGGCTCAGACTTGTATGTGTTTACCTACATTTGCTCACTCATTCATATATCTGATTGACACCATTTTAGAAAAGGTAGATTATCAGGTCTACTATTACATTTGCTTTTTGCATAGTCAAAAAGATGTCACCATCAAGGAATGTAGGCCAAAATATAGAGTTTGTGTAACTTAAGCTTTACAACATTTAATATTAACAGAAATATTTTTTCAGGTGGTTGGATTGTTTAAAAAAATGCCAATAAAGGCAATTTTTTGTTTTTGATTTGAACATTTCACTACACTGTTTGCAACTCAAACATTGCAGCATTGTGTTAGCACACAAGAAAAAAATGTAAATTGAAAAAAAACATGGAAATTATTTTTCAAAATCATGTGCCAAGCAGAATGAAATACCAAAAGTAAGCAAATAGGAGAGATGGTGATTAGATTTTAAAAATGTGTTCTTTTGTATAACCTCGGAGCTGATCCTGGGTAATGCAGGAAAGAGAGTGGAAAGGTTTTTTTGGACCACAGTTGTTGAAAAACCATAGCTTTGTTAGTTCACATCTTGTTCAGGTATCCATGTTATGGTACATAGACAGCCAACCTACCCTGTACAGACTACAGGTTTGTATTCTTGTGTATTAAGGGGATGAAGGGTCAGGGTGTGGAGGTGGCCATTGGCAGGCCTCCTTACCCTTACCTTCAATCCTGACATCAGATCTGGGGCAGGGGTAAGTAGATACATACCTCAGGTAGTGATGATAATGGGAAGTAGGGCTGTTACTTACTCACAGATATCTCTTCCCCAGGTTTTAGCCATTGCAGGATTTTAAAATATCCTTAGCCACCCGAGCAAGCAATATAAATATAATTTAAAATATATGCGAATAACCGGAGTATCTTAAATAATTGAATTACAGTACGAGTTTATATTTTTATTGGTGTGGAATTATGGGGTGTATGAGTAATGCAAACATTAGATTTGGGGGGGAGAGATGTCCCACTTCCTAATTTTTATATTAATGTACTGACAGGTAACCTTAGTCATCTGGCTGTGCAATCAGTCTTTAATTATCCCCTCCAGCAGTCTTCATAATAGTCCTTTCACTTCACTATGGTAGGAACTGGGCATTAGTTCAATGAGAGTGGATTGTATCATTCTCACATACCTTTCTTTTCTGGTGGTGGCCCTTTTGCTGATCCATTCCCTGCTTCTTGTTTACTATTAGCTCTATCAGAACAGTGGGCCTCAAGCCAAGACTAGAGACTGAAGCTGGCTGCTACTTAATCAATCTAGGTAGTAGCCAGTCCTTCAAAGATATCCACCATCATGGACCCTTTCTCCCCTGGAGACTCCTGTTGACTTCAGTGGGACTCTGTGTGAGCATAAGGGCCTATGCTTCCAGATTTCTTTACTAGATTGAGACACTATTGTGTAGCTTCCATCTGGGATACTGAGGGCATCGTCTACATGTGCTTTGTCAATCACCAACATTTATTTTTCCATCTTCACTTTTTAAAAAAAAACATTTGAAATGCTGTTTTATTGAATCTGATTTGGTAAATGTCCCATGCAGTAAATATTTAACTCCATGCTGTCTTCCAATAGAAAAAAGAAAAAGCATCTGTCATTAAGAAAAACAATGCCTATGCAGTGGCTGTTGCCAATTATGCTCCAAATATTACCAAGGACTCAGTGCTACCAACAATCTCCAAGAGTGCTACAACCACAGAACCCAACAAGGCAAAGCCAGAAGCCAAGCCGCAAGAAGCAAAGAAAACATTCAACAGTGTTAGCAAAATTGACAGAATGTCTAGAATAGTGTTTCCAGTCTTATTTGGTACTTTTAACTTAGTGTACTGGGCTACATATTTAAACAGGGAACCTGTCTTACTTGGGTTTGCGCCCTCAACCTAAAAGCTAAATTACACTGGGGATGTATAGAATCATTATATCAGATAGGTTGTTTTGCTATGTACAGTACGACTAATAACTGCTAATCTGTGAACCAATATGTACAGAGTGTATATAGATAACTTATCCGTGTATCTCCAAAGGAGACACACAATGTTTATTCATGGATCTGTAAACAGATAACACCCATGGCTAATATAGCCAGCTCTTTAGAAGTTCTACCCAGGGGATTTCCTTAAAACTGGGATTCAAATACACAGAATTATATCTTCTCCATACAATTAGAGGAAAATATGGTCCTGCATAATTATTTAGGAACAGTATTTTTTTAATTTAAAGTTAAAATATTTTTCTATAAAATAACTGATTCTACTTTAATGGGAAAAGCTGTCATTAAAAATGATTTTTTAAAAAAACTTATTTCATACAATGGAAGTGCCCATGTATATTATAGAGTGATGAGCTCAAACTATTCTGTTGTTCACAACCATTTTGGAAAGTAGTTATGTTTAAAACTTAGTAAAGACTATTGGAATGCCAAGGCCATTAGTTCCTTACTTCTAGACCTGCTTTGAACTTGTTAATGAAGTATTCCAACTAATTTAAGTGAGCAGTAGTGATTAATCAAATTTCTAGCATCAATCAACTTCCACTAGAAAAACTGTTTTATTCTCCTCGGTGTTTGTTTCTCTGAGGTTGCTGAACCAAGTTCTCTTATTCAGCAAGGTCAGAAAAGGTTTTTTTTTAAATTTAAATTGATGTCAGGCTCATAAATATTGGTAATTGACACTCAGAAATTTTTCAGGGTAAAGTATATCAGAAACATAAAATGCTCTTTTTCCTGCTTAGTATTTACAGGAAAATCTGCCTTAAAAAGGCTTCCTCACATCTGCCCATAGAAGCCACTGTTTTCAAAGGAAACAGCAGTTTGTGATTGCAATCCAGTTGTCCTCATGGATAAGATTTATTGCTGCTTTTGTAAATTGCAACTTTACATTTCACTGACATAACTTAACAACTTTGTATACTAGAAAGGGTTTTGCTAAGATTTGAATGTTATTTTTAATAAACTTCAGTGCATCATCAGTAATTGTCAATTATTTTATACACAAAATATAACAAAATTGGAGCTGCCGTTTGCAATTTTATATGAATATTTAATGTTAGTAAAATTAATTTTCATCTGAACCTTTGCAAATATTCCTTATGCCCTGAAAGGCCTGGTAAATTATGGCATAACTAATAATTGTGCACTGTATTTAGATTTTAATATACTTGGCCAATCAAAAATATTTTGATTCACATATACATTAGCAGTTATTAGTTGACCTTTTAAAATAGATGCACCTTTATGATGGTGTGTTTACAGTAGAAACATATGTCATCGTATAGTGTCATTTATTGCAGTTTTGTACAGTACTTGAGTATAGTGCATAAAATAGGTATGTTCAAAGTTTGACAAACTTGTACAAATATTTCTAAAATGAATAAATGAATTATCTTAAGACATGGAAACTAGCAAAAACAAAGAAGAAGAATCAAACATTGCATTTTTTGCTGTTTAATTTTCTTGTCTTTTCTTTGTTTTTAATGTGATTCTATTTTGTGCTTTGCATGACAGTATAGATGCCAAGGTCACAAATGCATTTTATTAGTAGACTTTACAATGAAGACAGACTTGACTTTAATCAAACAAGATATTCCATATGACATCAGTAAAATAGAAGGGAGAACCACTGGTGAAATGTGTATTCCCTTCATCCCCTCTAATAAATCCATCTTAATTCATCAACAATAGTTGAAAAACAAGCACTTTACTCAAAACATTAAAATAGAAATATCCTTATTTTCATATATTATATTTATATATAAATGTAGATCTTCCATGTAATACAGAAATGTGTGCAATAGGGTGATGAAGTGTGTAAGGTTTGAAGGCAAGCAATAAAAAGTTTTTTCATGGTATAATTATACATTTTAAAAATGTTTTATTTGTAAACTATAAAAGATCCCTTTAATGTCATAGTGTCCAGGTATAACATATATACATATGTAGACTATTTGTAAATATTGGTCCTGTAGAAAAATCCTTTCATGTTTCTCTCTGTTTCTGGCAAAGGGCTCTGACTGTGTGGTATAGTGGAGGCCCAAGCTTATCTGCTCTCAGACTCTGAATAGGTTGATTACTGTTTTCATGTACCTTTGGGCGCCATCCTGCAACCTGATGGGAGCTCTCAACTCCCATTAACTTCAACAGGAGTTGAGGACTCTCAGCACCTCACAGGTTTGGGCTTATAAAGAGTAAGGTCTGTATTCTACCCCAGTTACATCCCAGATAGCTTAACAAAGTTAGGTTTGCTGTCTCAAATAGTGGGAAGTCAGAACTCTGCCCTCTAGATACATGAGCAGTGCTTAATTTGTGCCAGGGCTGAGCCCCAGCCCAGCACCTCTGGGCTTGCTGAATCAGTCATGAATGTAAAAAAAATGACTTGAGCCATGGCACCTAATTGCTAGAGTTCTGGCACTTCTTTCATTACAAATTAAGCACTGTATATGAGTGTGTCCAGAGGTGCATTTAATTATGTGATGGGAGAGAGCTGTGTATCCTTTTTTTTTTTTTTTTTAAAGGAATACACACAGAGGTATCTGACTTACAGAATCAAGCAAGTCCTGTCATCGCTTCAGAAAATTAACATGCTTAATTTATAGCTGCACTGGGCCTGCTGTAAATTGTGCACCCTCAGCTTCACAGAGGGCCTGCTCCCGTTCCCACCTAAATCAATCGGAGTTTGGGGAGCAGGGTCAGAAATAATGTGTTAGGAGCAACTATTTAATTCACTGAACAGTCCCTATGGACTTGTGCAACACTTAGAGTAAATCGCATAACCACCAGACCTTTAGCACATACTTTAGACGTAGAAAAACAAAACTATTTAAATGCAATCTATGTGCACAAATATGCTTTCAGAGAACTACATGCAGCTCCTGCTGAAGTCAGTGGGATTTGCAAGGGCATATCTGAAAGCGGAGTTTCAGCTCAAAGTCTTGTACAGTTGGTTTAGATTTAACGTTGGCTTCTTTTGTTTATTGCATTTTAAGCAATTTCTGTCAGTTGTCCTTATGATTCCAATGTTAAATAATTTATGATGATGAAAATGACTAAAAATAAAACTGATGAGTTCTTAAGAGTGACAACTGTATAGCTGAATGCGAAGATTTAAGTGAACACAAGACCTTAACATGAATTTTGAAATGGCAGCCTTAGGGTTTTTTTTTAATTCACTTCAGTCTGTGACCAAGATTTTTCAAACCTGGTACCAAAAAGTTAGGCTCTTAAATTCATATTTAGGCACTTTTATAGATGCTGAGCACTTGGCGTACATCTACAACACGCGAAAAAACACATGGCTAGCCTGGGTCAGTTGACTCGGGCTCCCAGGGCTTGGGCTGCGGGGCTGAACAATTGCTGTGTAGATGTTAGGGTTTGGGCTGGAGCCAGAGATCTGGGACCCTCCACTCTTCCAGGGTCCCAGAGCTCAGATTCCAGCCAAGCCCAAATGTCTGCACAGCAATTTTTAGCCCCACAGGCAAAGCCCTGTGAGCCCAAGTCAGCTGACTCAGGTGAGCTGCGTACGTGCTGCGGGTCTTTTATCCCTGTGTAGACGTTGCCTTGGAAGCCTGATCAATTTCAATATGATTTGTTGATGTTAAGCAATTCCAAAAATCAGCCCACTTTTATTTAAGAGATTTATTTATGGATGTAGGAACCTAAATTTGAATTTTTGGCCTAACTTCTGTCCCTTTCTAGTTTATTCCCACCCCCTCTACCCTCCCAGGCCATCCTCCCAAGCCTTCTATAGCATTTCTTACATGATCCAAAAACCAAATACACTAATAATTTAAAAGTTTAAAAAAATAAATAAAATGGCCCAACATTGCGGTAACTTGCACTGGGCTCAACAGGGTTCCAAGCCAGGGTTAAAGAATAGCTTTTTGATGTAGGACTGCAACATTTACTCGATGCATAAGGCTAGAGAATAGTACCCAAATATTAATAGTAATTTGGAATTAGGGGGTGAGAAAAGATAGAGAGCCCTGGGTTTATCAGCCTTGGCACCCTCTGTGGTAGTCTCCTGTCTTAGTGCATTTGTTGTAATGCACTGGCTTCCAAACATTCTTGTTGATATTTTCAGACAGACAAAATAACTTCACCTTTCATTTATATTTAATGCGGCTGCAAACTCCTGTGCTATTGTGATGTTTTATTTATGTCCTCATGTTCTCCCAGCACTTTCGTGCACATTTTTGGCCTTATTCAAAATGGCCACCATGTCCTATTATTTCAATTGGTGTGAAGTTACATGGGCCCAGATCTTCACAGGTATTCAGTCTCCTAACTTCCATTGAAATCAATGGAAGTTAAGAGTCTAAATATCTTTGAGGATCTGAGCCATGATGCTCTCAGGGAAAATGTCTGCCATGAAGGCTCTGTTGTAGTTTGGAACCTGGAAGAGAAACTATGTTCAGTTGGGGGAGGTAGGCAGAATACAGAAGGGAGTGCAAGAGAAAGAGAAGGTTGAAGGAGAATGTGAAGAGAAGGGGTCTGAAGGGAAACAGTGGAAGGATATGGGCTCAGGAGACTGTGGGTACTTGAAGTGAGAATGTGAAAGGGACAGGCAATTGGTTGAGCAGTGTGGGGAGCAACTGTGAAGAAATGGGGCAGTGAGGGATAGAATGGCAGCTCCACTTTTCCAGAGGAGATGGTAAGTGGAGTCCCTTTCTAAACAGTCCTTGGGAAAGCTTACGTACCTTTGGGTTTGCATTTGAGGTTGGATTTTGAACCTGCAGTTATCACACACCAATTGTGGGCAGACAGCTTTGCACTAAAGACTAAAAGGCAGATCAGACCCCAATAGATTTTTGTAATCATGATTTTTTTGTGATCTGACTCATAATCTTGAATCCTCTGGATTGGCAATGCCACTAACCACTTCATAAATATT